AGACGTGTTGTGTTCTTTTTGTTCTGCAGTAGTTTTCACCTTGAGACTCTGCTATTGATGCCAGTTTTGCTTCAGTTGTTGTTCTGGGGTCTTTTGTGACTTCCTGGATGAATCACCGATGCACTCTTTGAGTAATTTTGGTAGACTGGCCTCGCCTGGGAAAGTTCACCACAGTTCCAAGTTTTCTCCATTTGTTAATAATGGCTCTCACCATAGTTTGTTGGAGCCTCAAAGCCTTAGAAATGACTTTATAACCCTTTCTAGACTGATAGATATCAGTGACTTTCTTTGTCAGTTGTTTCTTTAGAGGCATGATGCGTTACTTTTTGAGATCTTCTCACAGCAGCATATTTTCTCTCTTCAAATGTGCCTTACAAAAATGCATTGCATTTCTTTCTTGTTCTTTAGTTTATACATCTTTGTCGGAGCCTACTCTGACAACCAAGTGCATTTGATGTTTATCATCTATCTGACTGTTGTGCATAACTCTTTAGTTTATGAGTGCAGTCTGACTTAGTGACTTTTTTGTTATTTGTTTGCTTTTTGACACATTTTGTTAACATAAAAGGATGCTAAAGTTCAGTGAACTTAGATTTTATATACACATACAAATTTATACTCATTAGACTTTAGGGAAGTAACATGCTAGTCAATGCAGTTAGTCCAGTTCTTCACATAATTGTATTTCACTGAGGACAGAGTTAAGAGCCATGCCATCTAAAAGGGAAGAACTGCAGGTGCCACATAGAGGTTTCATCTCTGATATAGCTACCCACCTGGAATACTTCATCAATATCCTGTGTTTACAGAAAAAAAGGTATATACAACATAATCAAAATAAGAAGTTCAAAGTTCTATGTTTGCACTCTTTCAAAGTTCAAAATGTTGTGCGTGTTTAGCATGTTCAAAAGACTAGATAAGTCAAAAGAGTGTGGGGTGAAACTACAAGCAAATCATCAAATCCTGAATTAAAACTCTAGTCACTAAAGCAAAACGCATCTGCAGAGAAGACCACCGAAATTAAAAAGAGTCTGGCTGAGGGAATTATGAAAGTCTCTGTGGTTTACAAAAATACATCCAACGCTTAAACTAAAGTGCCCGTGTGGTTCAAAACATGCCAGATACTGAAAGTACAATGAACTTTGGACAGTTCAACGATATGCAATATGGAAAAAGCAGCCATTAAGGCCAATCATTGGCAATGTCTTCTATCCAGCCAACAATAACAAGCTTGGCTGTTTCAAGCAACAACAAAAAATAAGCAGAGAAAGAGCAAGCTGTCTCAGACTTGAAAGTTACATGCATTTATATAAATGGGGTTAGCAACGTGGAATTAAAGATTTTAATATGTAATGGCAGGCTTGTGTTCTTAATGCCTTGAGCTATTGTTCCTCCATCATATTATATGGAGAAATACAAAGAGTTTTCTAAGTTCATCCATTCTGCTGAGTAAATCATCCCTCCAACCAAACAATCAGCCCTAAAGCTAAAAAACATGGACAAGTCATGCTAATAATTCAGAATATTTACACAAATAAACTTTGCATCATACAAAAGCATACTTCAAGGAGCTATAACCTAGTGTGACACCCACGGTCCTCTTGTCACATGCCCCACTGAACATGATGACGCTCCCCTTTTTGTTTACCCAAGCTGCAGTTAGTACAAGCTCCTTTAAAATCATTGTTTAAACAAAGTAGATCTTTTCTTGATACTGTGGAGTAAACTCAGACTGCACAAGCCTTCACGAGGCTACTGTCATTACGGGTTTAAGTGTGAAGGAAACAGGACATTTCCTCTGTTCCTCAGATCATTACTGTGGATATTAAAATACTAAGGAAGAGACACAACAAATACGAAAATTTAAATTAATAAACTCCATGTCCGCTTGTGACCCTTTCAAACTGAGACAACCTCCATCTGCTGGAATTCCCGGTCCATTGTGGACGTGAAATCATGTCTTGCTGTTTCCACTCTGGGGTGTAAGTGTTTCCGCCAACCCCTATCTCAATGCTTTCCGAGATGCCCATCAACATTATCGCTGCGGCAGGCCAATTAGTTATCATCTGCCTTGTTTTCTCGGACTCAAACAGTGGGATGTCATCTGATTCAATAAATGATTTTAATAATGGGCCTGCAATCAAAGATGCTTCTAATTTTGAGACACATTTGAGCCCTCAAATCAAGTTCAGTCTGCTGACGATACACCATAACTGATAACCACTTCGTTATTAAAAGCTATTTATGAATTACAAAATAAATAATGATATTATGTGTATATTATTACCATATATTATATTATATTATGTATGAGCATCACTGATAGCTAGAAAGTCTGATTCTTATATAACATTTTTTTAATAGATTTTCTTATTGACAATATGAAAAACAATCATGACGCAAGATTTAAAAATATTGTCAACCAGGTAAAAAAAAAAAGTACACAGACACACATCAAGACAGCTTCTTTGTTAGAGCATGCCATCACTGTCCTCTGGTATGACTGCTAACTGCACGCTGAGGAAAAAAGTGGGAAAAGGAATATCCACACTTCAAAGAGTTTTCCACATATCTGCGTGATCCTCGGTCCACAGTTCGCTTTTACGTCTGACACTAAGTGAAAAATGATCACACAGAATCCTGAGATATGGCTGCAAATGTGATTTGCGACGGCACTGTGATCTTAAATGTTGACCATCAAATTTTAATCAGTTCATCCTCGAGTCTAAGTGAAGCATTTGCTCCAGTTGTAATGAAATTCCATCCTGGAAACTGTAGGATATCACATTTATGAGAATGGAGTGAGGTGAAGTCAAAGTGACCTTGAGCTTTACACTATAAGATCTAATCTTGATTACTAACCTAATTTAAACTAATTCAATCTCTTAACTCCAAGCATAAGCACAAATACTTGCTATTAAACAAATAAATAATGAATATCAAATACTAAAAAAATTAATATTTAAGCCACTTCTCAAAAAGACTCTTCATGGGTTGCGTTAGGACCAAAAAAAAAAAAAATCACAGTGACCTTTTGACCTTTGATCACCCTTGAATCAAACCAAATGTTTGTTCCAAATTTAAAGAAACTCACTCCTGATGTTTAAAACACACCGGGCTCATGACAATGTGACAGAGATATACATATAATGATACAACACAGTGGTGAGAAAAACTGAAGAATTAAAAAAAATAATAAAAGGGATTAAAAAATGTAAAGGCTTATGATGTGTAAATGACATTCTTTTTGTTTTTACATTTATAAAATGCAGGGGAAAGAAATCCACATTTGTGCTCCACATTGCTTCATGTCTCCCCTCAAACATCCACCAGATGTCCTCAGTCTGTCTTCCTGGTTATGACCACATGACAATCACACCCACCTCACCTGTTCCCAATTAACCAATCAATGCTTGCACCTGCCTCTTGGCTCTGTATGCTTATCACCTGCAACAATGAAATGCAGAGATAAATACTAGCAGAAACATTGCATAGAAAAAGATCTATTGATCAACTCGTGATCTGCTCTCCAGAATTATTTAGCAAATCGCAATTATTTCTAGAAGATGGCAGTAATGCAATTCCCCGGTTGCCAGAGGCTGTAAAACTTTAAAGAAGAAAATAAGTTGTGCTTTGTCAAATTTTCATTTTTACCCATATCATTCTAGCTTCTGCTTTTTCCGCACTTGTTGCTAATATACATTTGTTTCTGTTTTCTATCTATCCTACATTTTGAAATAATCCTCTCAATTGTTTCTGTCTATACTTTGAATTAGGCAATAAATTCGAGAAACTTGTGGAAACTGCTAGTTTGGCTAGGAATGCTGAGGTCGTACGCCGATGTAAACCCTTTCCCATCCTTTCTCGTCTCGTTCTCACACTGTATACTTGGCTCTATATCCTCAGCCTGGATTGTCAAGCGGGCATAATTAAAAATTAAAAAACACTCTTTATCTTTTTGTTCAGACTCTTTTTTGTTCATCTTAAATTCATTGTTTTCTGAATAAGTGAACAAGAAAGTTCCGTTAGCCAATGTGCAATTAGCTCAGAAAAGGAAGGAGGTGAGTCAGAAGTTTAAAACTTGGCTCGTGTGAAGCCTATAAGACACAGTCACAGCTCATTGTCTTTGAACTTTTAGGGCAGAACAATGACACGGCTAGAAGCAATTCCAGAGAAGTGCAAAGGAAGACAAGTGAGCCTTCAGAGGGAATATCTATGTTAGCTTAATGCTAATATTATGTGGGAAACAATTGCATCTGCATTCACAATGGACACAGACAGCAATAACTGTCAGCGACAAAGAATTTCTGGTGGTTTGAGCATATGAAGAACGCCATAATCATCTTGACTCACAGGCCAACCTTTGTTGCTGGCAAGCAAGCAACAAGTATACCATATATACACGTATGCTCCTGTGGCATCTATGATATAATGAAGGACATACATGGTGACTAGTGCATTTAAGTCTCATTGAAGATATTTAGAAATTCTTTGATGAAATTATATATCTTTTCTTTCCCTCCCTCTCCATCTATATAGCACAGATATATAAGCAAACATCTGTTTAAGAAAAGAAATAATATAAGATCCCATTTTCATCATTGCAAGCCTGAAATCAGACAACGTCAAGAGGCCGATTTCATTGCAGTCATTGAGGGAGGGAAGGAGTGTTTGTATGTGTGGGAGAGAGAGAGACAGAGAGAGAGAGAGAGAGAGAGAGAGAGAGCGAGAGAGATAGAAAGAGAGAGAGAGAGAGCGCTAGAGATATGGGGGGTGGAGGGGGTTCATTAAAGCCCCTGGTTTAAGCCCAGCCCATTCTGGATATGTAAATGTCTGAGGCACAGAGAAAAACACAGCAAGAAAAAAGCAGTGAGGGAAGATGTGAGAGCGAAGAGGAGGAGGGGAGCAGCATGAACAAGTGAGAGAGCGATCAAGGGAAAGAGAGCAAGAGAGTGAGGGAAAGGGAGCGAGCACTCTGAATTGTGAGTGGCTTACGACACTCAGTGAACAGAAGGTGCTTCTGCATGCGCTGTCAGTGTACTGGTCTGCTGCAAGGGATTGCGCGCTCCTTTGCTTCCCACATTTACCGCCCCTGCCTGCCTACCAGCACCAGCCTTCAGCAGCCTCTTCCAGCTGGCTGAGAAGACACCCAGAGAGCAAGGGAGTAAACGAAACCTGCGAGCCACGGGGGATGCGAGCGGCTACCAAACCAATATGAGCCACTCAGATGACGAGGAATACTGTTACACAAGAAAACAGTGAACAGGGTTCATCTCTTTATATCCTGTTTTGTTTTTTTGTTTTTCCCTTGCGTCCGTCACTGAAATCATGATTAAGTGCTTGAATGGATCTAAACCTTACAAGTCAGTGATTTCTTCAAGCGATGGACGATAACACATTTTGACAGATCTTTTGAAACTTAAGCGGGAGGGAAAGGAGCAAAGAGCTGAAGACAGATTATTTTAAAAAAGAAAAAAAAAGATTCTTGCTTATTTTTTTCTTTCGCTGGTTTTCTCTTCTTCCCTCTGATCGTTGCAGCAGAGGACTGCGGAGGAGCAGGAGAGACAGAGCTCATGCAGACAGGGGTACTTGCACTTCCTACCATCTCGCTGAAAGCTACTTGGATTCCTTCTCTTTCTGGCTCTTTCACTTGAAGAGAACTAAGACATTGTAAGCCTGCCAAGGATCTGGTGTCCACTGAAAAGAGAGAAGGGAGGGGGGGAGAATTTGTACCACAGTGGGGTCTTTTTTAGATTCGCACATAATTAGTGTTGGGGCACAAAGCGAGATGCTGAATGGAGATTGTCAGCTTTTGAATAGGGGTGAGTAGGAATTTTTTCGAATAAGATTGATCAGTGAGGACAGTTTGATTTTCCATCCCCTCTACTCTCCACCCACTGCTTGATATATAACGTAAGGAAAGAGACTTTATTTTTTTGGCATTCTTTGGGACTTGATAACAAAAATACTATCACTGTCTTCAGCTGACATACATAGAATGAGACAGCTTGTTGAACGAGATAGATATGATGCGATAAATATGATCTGATACGGGCAAAACCGATATCCAGAGTGGTTCAATGGACATTTTCTCCCCGACATCCCTGGATATTTATGCTAATGGATTTCCTTCTAATTGGACTGTACTTAAAGTGGCCACTGAAGAAGCCCCCTGGGTTGATACTGTGTTCATTGGGCATTTTTCTAAGAACAGTTCCCTTGGTAGAGGGGGTTTGTCCAAGGTTGTGCCGCTGCGACAGCAAGCTGCTGTACTGCGAGGGGCTCAACCTCACAGACATTCCCCGCAATCTGAGCAGTGCCATGGGCCTGTCCATGAGAGAGAACAACTTAACGGAGCTGCGTGAAGGCCAATTGGCTGGTCTGTCACAGCTCACCTGGCTCTATTTAGATCACAACAGCATTGACGTTGTAGAGGAGGGTGCATTTGACAAGCTGAGACGAGTCAAGGAGTTAGACCTGAGCAACAACCGGATTGAGAGTCTGCCAAATGGCACCTTTAGGCCCCTCCCAAACCTCCGTATCTTGGACCTCTCATACAACAGGCTGCAGGTACTAGAGCCTGACCTGTTCCACGGCCTTAGAAAGCTCACCAATTTGCATTTGCGCTACAATGCTCTCAAATTTGTGCCAGTGCGGATTTTTCAGGACTGCAGGAGCATGCAGTTTCTGGACTTGGGATACAACCAACTGCAGAGCCTGGCACGAAACTCCTTCGCTGGCCTCTTTAAGTTGACTGAGCTGCATCTTGAGCACAATGAGCTAGTTAAAGTCAACCTAGCCCACTTCCCACGCCTCATCTCTTTACGCACTCTGTACATGCACAACAATCGTGCCACTATTGTTGTAAACACACTAGACTGGACATGGCACTTTTTAGAGAAGATTGACCTGTCAGCAAACGAAATCGAGTACATCGAGCCACATGTTTTTGAGAGTACACCAAACCTCAAGGTACTGATGCTAGACTCTAATCGTTTGACCTCTGTGGACCAGCGCATTCTGGATTCGTGGTCATCTCTGGACAGCATTACCCTGGCAGGGAATGACTGGGAGTGCAGCCGCAATGTGTGTGCCTTGGCCTCTTGGCTGAATGCCTTCCGAGGCCAGCATGACAATTCCCTGCTGTGTTCAAGCCCTGACACAGCACAGGGTGAGGATGTGTTGGATGCTGTCTATGCTTTTCAGCTATGTGAGGATCCCCCAGTAGAGGTGACCACAGCAGGCCTGTACGCCTCCACGAGGGATCTGGGCCCCATTACTCCCAACCCCTATGAGGGCGAGGGTAGTGAAGTGGTCACAAATTCTTTCACTGTCACAGTGGGCCATGATGACCTAGAGAGCACCATGCAGATCCACAAGGTGGTAACAGGCACCATGGCACTCATCTTCTCCTTTCTCATCATAGTGCTCATGCTATACGTGGCATGGAAGTGCTTTCCAGCTGGAATAAGGCAACTGAGGCAGTGCTTCAGCAGTCAGCGCCGTAAGCAGAAGCAAAAGCAAAGCATGCAGCAGATGGCTGCAATTTCTACACCAGAGTACTATGTTGACTATAAACCTAACCATATTGAGGGAGCTTTGGTAATCATCAATGAATATGGCTCTTGCACTTGCCAACAACAAGCTTCTCGGGAATGTGAAGTGTGACCCTGCTTTTGAGTAAGTCTTTACCTGTGATTATCTGGATATACAGTAAATTCCTTTTTGGATACACCGGGGAGGGGGACAGAAGGAATTATTCAATCTTCTGGACACTTTTTTTTACAAAGCATTTCACTGTGATGTGGAAGAAGTGTGCTTCATGTGGCTGACTATTTTGTGGTGGATTTACTGCTACTGCTATCTGCTGCTGATCTGAAGTCACATAATGGTCATGGGACTCTTGGACCTGTTCGTGTTCTATCGAAAAAGAGAGAGGAATACAGCGCTGAGGCTTTTCTCTCGAGGATGGATATTTGAGCTTTAATGTGTCTTTCTATTTCAGGACATTTAATTATTGTTTAAAAATAAACTGGGGACACAGGAGAGGAAAAAAAGAAACCATTTGTATTATGGTACACACAATATTTGAGCATTTAAAATATTAAAAACACATTTAAGTTTAATTAAAAATGTAAAAATAAAACTGTGTAAAATATGTTAAAGAAGAAGACGTGCAAGTGTGGACAAAAAAAAGATAATCTATTTCTTTTGTAAACTACAAAAAAGTGTTTAAATAAATGAATTGCTATTCACAGAAACTCATTTGTATATGAGAAGCCTGTCAGAGAGGATGAATGACGACAGACGCAGTCTTTGCGCTCGTGGACTGTAGAGCCATGACTCTGCAGTGCATCAAACAGCCCCCCCCCCCCCCTAAAAAAAATAAGGCGAAAAACAAAAAAGAAGAAAAGGGGAAGAGGGATTTCTGCATCTCATCTCCAGTGTAAAACCCACCATCTGAGTTTTAGACCTCTTCTCGGATTGAATCACATTTTGTTTTGCATTCATTGTGGTGACTTTCTATCAGTGTAGTTTCTTTCCCATTGCCTGTCTGTGAATAGATTAAAAACGATCTATTTCATCCTTTATCAGTAATCATATTTTCATTTAGTGATATCACAATATTTGTGCTCCATCCAAGTGAAGAAAGCAGAGTATAAAAGAGCTAAAGCTATGCCTCTCGTTGCTTCTCACCTTTTGGCTGTCGCAGAGGAGCGTTGCCTCCTCTTACTGAATCAAGCACACCAAAGCCAACAATCATTCAGACCATCCATAGTAAAATCAAAAATACTGTTCAAATAATATCCAAACCACCGAAGGAATTATTCACCAGCTTCAAGAAGATTTGCACATATTGGTCACTTTGTTTTGTTTTTTTTGTTTTTCTTTTCATGTGATGTAAAATGTGTGTTGAATACAAGGCCATTTCCAGGTGCGTGTATATATCCTTCTCCCTTTGGTGTTTATTGTGTACATTAGCGCACTGACAGATGTTGTGTTTCCTGGGTCCTTTGACATGAACAGTATGTTATGTGAGAGAGAGATGGAGGATCACAACGACTGCAGAAAGAGGGAACAGACTGCTCTCTAGTGTGCACATTCTCATACCGTGGCAGCATTATACCAATTGTGCACCATGTTCTGAAAAATTTCACAACGGGGGCAACATCAATATACTGATTTTACAGCAGCTTTTTCTGAGAAAAAAAAAGAGAAGAAGACAAAAAGATCAATTTGCATTATTTTTTGTGTTATTTTGCGATAAATAAGATAATGTTTACAACTTGTAAGTCATCAGGAATAAAAATGTTTTAAGAACTCACTGACAATCATTACACAATAAGTTTACATTCTTTAAATCTTTAATTCGATAACATTGTGAGATGGTGTTTGGCTGTTCTTCTTTTTAATCATTTGCAATAAGTGGTACAAAATGAGATGCTTTGGTGTATTTTAAATTGATATAACTTGTTGAGGTTGATAAAGGCCTGGGAGTAAACCCAGCCTGAGAAGAAGTATAGAGGATTTAAGGTCCCTTAAGCAATAAAGTGTCTGGAAAAAACAGAGAGGGGGGAGGGGATTTTTGCAGAGAGTAAGGATTAAATTTAATTGAAGTGTGCCACTATTTACTGGGTCTAAATGAAATATTTTGAAGGGAAAATTTGAGTGGCTAAAAAAGAAAATTAGAAACTATATTGTTATATTGAAACATTTCATCGATCTATTTAATTGTGTTAATTCTTACAAACTCGAGATCCCCAAAATGCTAGCCAGAATGCCAGTGAGCCACAGAATATGTAATACCGAAGCTCCTTCGTTTCCTCCCACAGCTCATAGGATTTCTCCCAGGCCCAAAGAAATCCCATCACATAGAAATCATTCTAATTATTATGAAGGACAAGGTGGGAATTCAGTGATTTTTTTCTAAAATGAATGAACTGTCCCATTCTATACATAATGCAAGCAGCAGTAAACATACATAAACATAAAATTGAATAACTTGGTCATTAATTGGTTTTCAAACTAGACCCTTTTTGTTCTCTTCAGATATATACGTCCCAAAATTAAGATTAGTTTAAATCTTAAAGTTATCTCAATAAACAGTGTATGAATCATTAACATCAAACCAGTGTCTGAGGAAATGTCTCGCAGTGGGTGAAAAATAATAATTTAGTCTGAGCACTTGGCAAAAGTGAAATGGTGTGGTCATAATGAAATGCAACGACCACAGCGGCCCTCAGTGTTCAACTTAAATCCCAGAGGGTCTCTCCAGCTGTCAGTGAAAGGAAAACAAATACCTGTACTTGTTACCAGAGGCCTCAGGCTACAATTAAAGTTTTTATGCGAGTATTCTGGGAGATGAATAAAATGATATAAATAGAAATTATGTTTTTATTTTTGACTATTGATAGCGTGGCATGGAATTTCAGCAGAGCACAGATTCAGTACTGGATTTATTTCACTTTTATGAAAAAAAACCAAAGTGTAGCCATGACGCTTGAAGTTCAAGCCTTGGGAACAACTTAGTAATTTAGCAGTTCTGAAAATGTGTTTTAGGGACTGGCAATGGCTTAAATTAAAGTTGCCATGCGAAATTTACGATCTGGTTCCTTTTTATTGTAGCAAGCGCACCCTGATTCAAAACTCGGTACAGCTGGAAATCATGACCTGTCAAATGACATGAATGCAAATGACTATGTAAGGACATCTTGATAGGGACAGAAATTTATTTTATTCTCTTCATCTTCATATCCTGTCCAGAATTCCCCTTACCTTCAGGTACTTCACAGCCCCTTAAACAGGCACCTGCAGGGTAAATTGAGGTTGTGAAGCTTCATTTATATAAATATTGGATGATGCTTGGCATGGAGGCCAGTACTAGCACCACTATTGATTTCATTTAACTACTTTTTTTAAACAAGCAACCAGGGCAAATGGTGATGGAGAATGGATATGATTATTTCTATACCTTTGAGTCCTCAGGACTGAAGTTTAACTACTTTAGACTTCTTTTTATTCCTCCTCACCTTTACCTTAATCCTCTCCCTACCTCTCTCTGTTGTGTCTGTAAGACATCAATTCATCTAACTGACAAGAGATCAAATCTCTGCTTGACCCAAGTCTGAGGTGATAATTCTCTGAAGGGAGATATGTGCTCTCAGACAGCATCCATTATGAGTGCCTTGATTGATGATGCTCGGTAAAAATCAATACAGATGAGTGGTAACCAAAATGATCACAGTGATAACAAATGTATTCATCTCGTCCTCACATTTTGAGGCATAAACTGATGGTTAGAGATGAGATGTTTTATTTACATGGAAATCCATAACTGCAATAATCCATAATCAGATCACTGTTCAGTCAGAGGAAAAGGGTGAGATTGTTGTTTTGCTTAAGAGCAGCCGGGGAGGAGAGCATAAGATTGCAGAGCTGCCGCTGCTGTTGTTTGGCAGCTAGAGGATATATGGTAGCTGCCTGTCCAGATCACAAGCTAATAGGTCTGAAGCTATTGTCTTGTAGCTCGTGTGTGCAAATTCAAGCATATGCTGCCTGCATAACAGACTTGGAAACTATTTGGGTGTCTAGGGATATGTTGTAGACCAACAACACGACTGGTGCTTGGACGGAAAGCCACAAAGGGATGAAGAGCAAAGGTCAAAACAATGAAAAAGGAAATTCTGACATGGTTTGCAAAAAGTGGGACACTAGGTGCATAAGGCCAGGGTAAGAACTAAAGGTCAAATACTAACAATACAGAGACCCTGCGGACTCAAATTCTACACATTCTAGCCAGACTATACAGCGAGCATTCAGAAACATGCTTCAGTATTATTAAAAGGGCAGCCCGACTTTTGGTATCACAAAAAACGACAGCTTAATAACACGTACCAATATGGCGTTTGCATAATGATGTCAGAGTTTCAGCACGTAGGGCCTGTGCAATGGTGTGAGTGTCAGTAACTAAACACTCCTACCGTGTTAGGCAAGACCACAGAGGGCCATAGAGGCACGAGTACATTCTAAAATGAATAAATTAACCTAGGTTCCTGTGAGGGGTATTGATCGGGCAGCATTCTGCCATCTCACTGGGACTGGGACTGTGCTGCATAATAAATGCTAAACACCCCCTCATAACTGGATGCAGAGCTAAATCATGGGTGGCAGCATGTACTGCAGTGGGCTGTAAGGAGCTGCTGATGACTAATGACAATGTGTGGGTGGCTTTGCACTGATTCTTTTATAACAGGTGGGTTATCAGGATCAATATTCTAATAATCATCAACATTATCTTAGAATCCAAATCCTCTGACACGCCATTTTCTCTCCCATTGTACATCCCCTTCTCTCCCTCCTTTTTAGTCCCAATGCCGCATGTGTGTAAGTGCGATTCTACAGCACTAAATTCACTGATAGCCACTATCAAAACCCCAGTGTTTATATAACCTGCGTGTACAAGCTGGGGATTAATTGAAAGAGGACAGTAAGAGGGGAATTTAACACACACACACACACACACACACACACACACACACACACACACACACACACACACACACACACAGACATACACATAAATTATACAGAGAGATTACTCTGACAAATAATACATTTAGATGCAAAAGTAAAGGAAGCTTATAATTTAATTCCAGACCTTTCCTTATGAATGTGGCGCAAACTGTCAAAATAATAACTTTGCTAAAACAGACACGGGTCCAATAGGGCACAATAATTACATTCATTACTCAGGCTAACTCTCCAGGCAGCCTATAGCTCTCTCTGCCCACTGCTTCATTTACATGCACCACACTGTAGCAACACTGAATTAATAATAATGACTGAGGAGTCATTATTCTTACCTACATATAGAAGAGCTGTGGTACTCTGAGGGTAAAACTAGTTAGAGAATGGGGGCAAGGTTGACATTACTCTGACTTAGGGGGTGGGAGAGGCTTAGTATTATTATTATTATTATTATTATTATTATTATTATTATTATTATTATTAATAGTGCATTGTTTTAACGTTAACTTACATGCCATGGTATGGTTGGATTAGCGTATGCTAATGTTTTGTCTTGCATTTAACTTAAAACATCAGGGTCAGTCAGTGTGATAATA